CCCTCGCCCCCCGCCACACGCATCCCATGGGGTGGCATCACCCCCAAAGTTTTGGGTTTCAGCTGAAATTGGCTTCAGGACAGTGGGAAGGAGACAGACAGAGAGCAGGACAGTCCTTCCCCACCCTTCTCGCCACTTATCAAGTCTCAAAGAAAAACTTCTGAGGTTTTGGGGTAGTTATACATATTAAACAACCCCAGGACCCTTTCTAACCCAGCTTCTGCCAACGACCCCAGCGTTAACTCAACTAAACCACGTCAGAAACCCAAGTGTCACGCTGGCACTGGCAGCCCCAGGGAGCGGAAGGAGACCGGCATCGTCACCAATATTGCACACAGACAGCTCCGGAGGGCTGGAAAGAGCCCTCGGAGCTGGGTCCCTGTGCCCACACAGCACCTGGGAGGGGGCTTCACCCCCACGCTTGGTTACAGCCAGTCAGCACCGCCAGCTTTCACCTCTAAAACCAGGACGTCTCCCAGCACCGTGAGGAAACCCCTCTCCCCGAAGGGGACGAGTTTCTCCAAGAGGAGCAGAATAAAATGGGAATCTGCTTCCCAACTGCTCTGCTCGCAGCTGCTCTCCCTTCACGCCTCGAATCACTCTCCCGCTTGCCTTTGCACTACTCTACAAATCTACCTGCAACAGCCAAGACAACGGCACACGCTTCCTTCATCGCAGGGGGGGCTCCTGCCCCGCAGAAGGGCCAGGGCTCCCCCCTTTCTCCCCTGAGCAGGTCTCTCTCCATTTGTGCTGGGGAAAAGGATTCATCTGCGGCAAACAGCTCGCACGAGGCGGGCGATTTCCACATCATCTCCTGAGACCAGCCCAGCCGCTTCTCCGATCACGCAAGATCCTGACTTGGAATAGAGGGAAATGGGCTCACCGAGACCCGAATACTTTCTCGTTAAGGCTTAAACTAGCAATTCAGCTGCTGCAATAAACCAGACAGACATGCTGCCGAAAAGAAGTTAGTTAAAAAGAAGAAAACCCAAACCACCTTGGTGCTAGGCATGCGGAGGCTTCGCTTTCCTCTCCCAGGCGGCAAACCCGTCCTCAACACCCACCCGGTTAGCGCGTGACACAAGCCTGCTTTAAGGGGGTTGTTTTTAAAACAGCCAGAAAAACGCAAACTAAACTCTCACAAAAGCCCCGCAGGTGGGACTGCCACATTAAATATACAACCAAGGCCAATTTTTAAAATGTCTTTTAAAAAAAAACAAACCACACGCGCATACACACACACTTTGGCACACAAGCCTTAAGTTATATCACTTGAAACATTTCAAAGTCAGAGGAGAGCTACTGGGGGGTTTTTTGTTGGTTTTTGTTTTGTTGGGTTTTTTTTTTCTTGTTTTTGCCTTGTAAAAAGGTATCAAGCAGTGGTGTTGGTGAAGCATGAAGAGCAAGTACAAATGCTGAACAGTCCCAGAGCTATCCCTGTGATGCTGCTCAACACTTGTACTCCTGTTACTTTCCCAAAGTGGCTAGCATACACATATATAAAAACTAACACAGACATTCCCGGTTTTCAATGTGAAAACGGTAAAATGTAATTGAGTACTTGTGCATTTGCCATAGGGTCCTTTGGAAAAGGAACCATAAAAATATATAATTTTTTTAATAAAAGTATTTTTTTTTTTTCCTTTTTTTTCTTTTTTACCCTTAACTTAAGTAAAGAGCAAATATACACCTATAAGCAGAGTTCAGATCCACTTTACTGAGAGCCTGGAAGTCCATACATCAAATTAATTCCCAGTGGCGTATCCAGACACCGGAACAGCTCCCAGCTCCAAAGGGCCGGCATTCCTGAAAGATCTGCAGCTCCAGCTAACCTCGTTAGCCAGCGCGAAGCAAAGGCTTGTTCAAGCCTTATCTGTCTCAGCCAACACTCCCCCCCACAGACTCTGCAGCTGAGCAGTTCTCTGCCAAGCAGAGCATCACACACGGGACCCAGCTCTGGGAGCATCAGAGCTGGCAATCTGGGCAACAAACCTGAGTCCTGGCGGTTTCAACCCATATCAGGCTGTAACAATGAAAACATAAGCATTGAGCTTATATTTTCTTATTACTCAGAGGACAGACCACTGATTCCAGCTACTGAGAAACAGCTTCCAGAGGAGAGCCAGGAGGAACTTCAGTGATAGAGAAACTAGCTGTGCAATAAGAAAGTGCATTTAAAGGTAGCTTAAAACCAGATTAAAGATCAAATCGCCACTCGACAGGAGGGAGAATCAAGCTCCAGCAGCCACGCTCCTTGGGCTGGGTGGGTTAACATTCAGGCTCTCTCTCACGAGTCCGAGGGGCAGGAGAGAAGCGTGCATTCCCGTGCTCCGACAGGGACACAGTTCTCCTGGCAGGCCATGCTCTCCTGCCCGGTTTGCTTCTGTGTGGTATCAGTTCTGACAGCTGTCATCGGAATTCGTAGATAGGAGCACTGTGCTCAGGAACATGAGTTAAATTCAATGACTGATACCTGGGAAAGAAGGAAAAGACGGAAAAAATGATTACACAGAGCAACAGAACTCCCCTAGCACTAATGGCTCCTGCTTGGCAGGCCACAGAGCAGACATCCTGGTGGCCAGCTCTTCTCTTCCCCTTTACAGTCTCAGAGGTGTTCAGGCACCCAACACCCACTTATTCATGGTGCCAAAACCCTGTGAGGGCTCAGCATCATTCCTCATTTCCATTCCCGTGCCTTTGAGCTACCTGGAGCCAGGCTGCATTCGAGGTGGGCTGACTGTGGTTTTTGGACACCTTTTGAAGTTCAACAACTTTCATGTTCAAACGGTGTTTGCTACAACTGCAAATTACACTCAGGTCTTTCAAAGCTTAGCTTGACGGGATTTGTCTGAAAGCCTCCCAGGTACCTTCCCTCCCCCTGAGAGCTTCCAGCCACCCTACAGATTCACTTGCTGTGTGTGACAAATATTGAAGGCTGTCAGAGGGAAAAGAGCCCTCCACAGCTACTTGTCAGATGGCTGGCTCTAACAAGAAATCAACCAATTAACTTTTGACTGTTCGCTGCATCTTACGGCAACACCCTAAGGACCTTGGACTACAAAGCACTGGCCTAACACTATTTCTGCCTGAAGGGAGCAACAGCTAAGCTGTTACATGTGAGAAAGCACTAAGCTCCCTCTTGAAGGCCTCTCCAACATCCTCTGAAGGGCCAAGGCATGGAGAAGCTCAAAGCCTGAATCACTGAGCAAAGTGCAAACTGAGGGAGCACAACCCTGCACACAAGATCAGGCTGCTTTACACTTGCCTGTTCTCACAGGAGGGCAGAAGCAAGCAAGCCCTGTGAGCGTTTGGACTGGAGACAAGGCTTCTGGAGGGATGATTTTAGTGAACCACAGCTGGTGTCTGCCTCCTAACGTACCTCACTGACACAGCAGGCCATTGCTTTACTGGGCCACAGCACATCTCCAGACCTTGTATCTCCCCTGCTGCACCTTGCCAGCCCAATCATCCCTCGCCATGCAAAAAGGGCAGCACTTTATACCACACGGATCGGCTGCGCTAGCCTGCTCTGGCCAAGCACAGCACACACGCCCTCCCTTCTGCCCTGAGGTCCAGCCACCAGACTGAACCTCCTTCCCAGCCCAGAGAAACACTGCCTGGACACTCCCAAGGCTGCAGACAAGCAGAAGAGGAGTCACTGCTTGGTTTGAGGAGCCACCCTTCAGTTCACAGGAGGAAGGAAGCTTCCTTACCATTCTGAACTCCTATGGTAGTAATAGCCCTCTATAGATGCTGCTGACTTCTGGAAGCAGATGTAATAGAAACCAGCAAAGGAAGCACCACTGATGTCTTTGATAGTGTGATCTGGGACTAGGAATTGTTCCTGCACACAAAACACAGACTGCATTTTAAAATGGCGGTCAAATACTACCCCCCCCCCCCCCCCCAACCTGCCCCCCCACACTGAATATTGGCACCCATTAACACAAAGGCATTCCTGGCTGAGCATTCCCTGCACTCACGGCAGCCCAGACCACAGAGACTAGTGTGTTCTTTCACCACCTGCCACTGCAGGCATCTTACAGGGAACCAGACAACTGAGAACAGAACCAGTCTGAAGAGTGCAAGAGACCAGTTTCAGTTCAACACCTGCCCCCTGCAAACCAAGCCAATTGCAAAATCAGGAATTGGAGCCACATGATGATGAAGAGAAGGCTCTGGGGAGACCTTATTGCAGCCTTTCAATACTTATAGGGGACTTATGAGAAGGATGGAAAGAGACTTTTTACCAGGGCCTGTAGTGATAGGACAGGGGGTAACAGTTTTAAACTAAAAGCAGGTAGATTTATATTAGATATAAGGAAGAAATTCTTTACTGTGAGGGTGGTGAGACACTGGAACAGGTTGCCCAGAGAGGTGGTAGATGCCTCATCCCTGGAAACATTCAAGGTCAGGTTGGACGGGGCTCGGAGCAACCCGGTCTAGTGAAAGATGTCCTTGCCCATGGGCGGGGGGCGTGTACTATATGATCTTTAGAAGTTTCTTCTGACACAAACCATTCTATGATCCTATGATTTCCTCCCCCTGTAGCTGCACAAGGCTCATGTAAAGAGGGAAGAATCAATCCAGCTGAAGAACAGAGAGGTGCGGACCGGCCAGTCTGCAAGCACACATGTCCCACACAGGGACTGGAGACACCAATTCTCTTGTCCTTCGGAGCATCACCAAGCAAGATTTTCCTGTTGTGTTTTTAGCCATGACTGCAGCCTTTAAGGATGCAATTAGCTGGCTAGACAGGAGTCACACTGGAATTTGCAAGTATGGTGGGTTACGAGGTTGGTAAGGTGAGATCTTTCATTAAACCATCATAGCTGAAAAAGCTTTCAGGCACCACAAGCCTCTGTCAGTCGCTTGTAAGCAGCTCATCAAAGGAGACGACATGCAGAGTTTACCTTCCATCTCATGAAGACATAGTCCCCATTTTTCAGATCTTCATAATCAAAGTCATCAGAGTTAAATGTTTTTGCATACTGGTAAAAAGCCTGGAACTTCCCCTGCAACAAAAAAAGAAAAGAAAAAAAAAAACAGGATGCTTACTCCAGGAGTAGAGCTCACTAGTGCCAGCTGCTATTTAGGAGGGAAAAACTGCTACAGAACAGGACCTCCTCACCAAAGGGACTGCTCTTCCCTTGGAGCAGTGCTAAATGCACACCCCAGGACTAGCACAGGGGAACACAGAGGATTGCCAGACACCCACAGCCACATCCAGCCCAGCTGGAGAAGCTCCTACACTTCCAGAGGAAGTTATTTTGACTGAAACATAATAAACATCAAAGTCTGGCAAACAAAATCTGGCCTTGATCCAGAGCGCAGCGGCAGACACACCCTATCGCAAGCAGAGGGCTGAGGTGGCTGAGACACAGGTACCAACTGCCCTGCCTGTGCTAGAGGGGCACCTCTCCCCTTCTGCACTCCATTTTGCGATAAGCCTTCAAAATAAGGAGCATGGTCTCCTAGGGGGTCAAGAGATGGGGATTGCTCCTGGTCCCTTCCAACCCCATGGCGAGCAAGTGGAAAACAAGATGCCCCCTCCCTTCCCATAGATCACAGCCAACAGCCTGCTGAAGGGACCTCTAGTTGCAAAGATATCAGTGAGGAAAGGTGGGAGACACCCAAAAAGGACAGGTTTCCAGGCCCTTCTGACAGGTCTTGCCTGGGCACACACTGCACCTCACCTCCAAACCAGCTGCTCAGCCAGGACTGCATCAGACCCACATCTGCTCCCCAGATTTATTTACCCAGTGTTTACGATCCACATCTTCATCAGCATCCCACTTGCGTGTTAAGAAAGGGTGCTTTTTACTGATTATTTCGCCTTCAAAGAAAGTGGTGAGGGTTGGGTACTCCTAAGAGAGAATGGAGACGAACAAGAGGTCAGAAGATTGGTCACCTAGAGACAGAAACTCAAACACAGATAGAGGTGCACGTGCTCAGCAAAAAGCAGCATCGTGCAGCAAGAGCTCTGGGCAATCCGAAGCCAGTGCTCCCATCGTCCCTCCAAGCAGGACGCTGACTCATCCTGCCCCACACCTCTTAAAGCCTGACTCGTATGCACCCACAGCCTCCACCCTCTTATTCCAGCCTCTCTCTGCCTCTCCATTCACTTCATGAAACCAGAAGGAGCTGTGTCAGAGCTGGACTGCAGGGAAGCTCCCAACTGGATGATCACAAGTGACCGTTTACAGCCAGCACCGCTCCCCAGCAGACACCAGGCAGTTGCTGCGTGACTGCTACAGAGCCCCAGGGCTGGATTAAGCCACCCCACCAGGGGAGAAGGTGCTCCTCTTCAGCTTTGCGTTGGCACTGAATTAGAACACAGGCAGGGAATAGCAGACTCAGCTGGGGTGAGTGAACTTCTCCAAACGCTCCCACGTAACAACAGACACACAGTGCACTGCAGCCAACAGAAGCATCACCCCTGGGAGACAGTTCTCACTGACAGTCCGACACCAGGAGCAATCTTAGAGGATGGATGGGGAAGGAAGTATGTAAAGATCTGACTGTTCGGGTCCCGGTTTACTTTCTTTCAGCAACACACCACCACGGGTAGAGTGCCTAAAGCTGACCGCAGGGTCAGATTTGGTTGTGCTCAGAACTTAAGGGCTGCCAGATAAGCCTTCCTCATTCAGGACTCCCACTGAGGCCCATCATACTTGCTTGACACACCAAGAACAACAGACTGAAGTTATTAAAACTATATAGTGGTCAAATCTACTCTATGCTCAATCCCTCCACTTTCTATTTCTGGTGGGTGGTAGCTTCTCCCACCCCACCAGGAAAAAGAAAAGCCTTTACACGGCACCTTTTCTTGTTGTTTTGCAGTTAACACTCACCTCTGTAAGGCCTTTAATCTTCAAGTATCCACAGAGATAGGAGTTTTCCATATCCACATGCTAGAAAAGAGTGCAAAGTCCAACCATAAGCATAAGCATGAAGGCACCCAATTGATCCAAAGAAGTTTCTAACCCCTCCAAGGCTAATTTCAGCTTCAGCCAGTACAGCCTGTCCAGCTTACTGCCCAATGCTCACGCTGGCAGCCCTTCCCCATGACTGGGAACCACCTGGAAAGATCTTTTACAGGGGCCCAGCTCACCTCTGACAGCCTCCACATCCCAGGCCTGACAACACCCACCCCACTTCCAGCTCCATCACACTGAGGCAGCACTCTCTCCCCAGAGGTCTCCTATGGGAAGTAAATCCCCCCCTCTCCACCCAGAAGGAAGGAGACTCACAGTCTTCTCCAAGTGAAAGCACCACTGGCAGAATCACCCACATTCCCAGCCCCCACATTTCCCAGTCAACCGCTACCAGCAAACTGGCATTCAGGGGAGAGAAGAGTAAAAAGCATGTATTTACTGGAGATAATTCAGGCTAGAGGAAGAAAGCACAGCCCTGAGCTTTGCTGTCTGCTTATTTAACAGGCCTGACCTACGCCTCTCTAACATGCTACCTGTACTCTCTGCCTAGTACCCAGCATGGTGCACGCCAAAGCCTGCTCAGAAGCCAAACAATCTCTCATGCGCTTTGAAAGAGGCCTTTCTCCCAGATCTAACGCTTTTATGCCACCCTTCTTTTGAGTTACAGGGCTGCAGCTCACTGCTTCTGCTGTGCAGAAGCTAGGCAGGGGGCTGCGTCTGTTCCAAGCACCTTTAAAACCAGGGGATTTTCTAAGCTTTTCCCCGACATCTCCAGATCTGTTTCAAAGCAAGAAGTGAGTTATTTGGGGAAGTGCAAACATCAACTGTGTGAAGATGGATCTTCCCCACCTGTGATCAAAGAAAAGCAACGTTTCTCTGCGCTCAGCACAGGGAGAGCAGGCAGCCACCTCTTCTCAGCTGACACGCGCAAAACAGCAGCATTTTTAGCACAAAGCCACAGCCAGCCCCTGCGAGAAGGCAGCGTGCAGTGAAGCTGATCAGCCATAGGATGTCCCCACCACAGCAAACCATACCAGGTACGCTTGTGCTGTGGAGGACCGTACGTGAAAACAAACGGTCCAGTTCAAACACTACCCCATCTGCTGACCCTGGGGCTCTGACACTACTCCACAACGCCGGCACACATGGCAAGCTTTATCGCTGCACTTGCTGCATGCTCAACCACAGTTCCTCAGATCCCATGCCACCAAACTGGGAACAAAGCTGTGACTCGCAGGGTGCTCTATAGGAAAGCGTGTATCAGATGTCTGGCTTGCCCGCGTACTAATGACTCCACACCTCACCAGCTCTGCCCAAAGCAATCATGCCAATCCCTAGGACTAAAAATAAAGCACGCAGGGCGACAATGACTGCAGGGAGGAATGGGAAAGCCACATGAGCCAGCGTCCTGATTCCCCAGCACAGCTGGGCACTACAGCTGTCTGGCTGCATTCCTGCCACAGACAAACCACTGCACTTCGTCCCAGGCTCTCTGCTCAGCCTGGGGGAGCCTCTGACAGCCCAGGGACAAGGAACCCTGGGTCCCAGGTCCAGCCAAGCCATGCTCTGCCAACCTAAGACTGGGACCTGGATCTCTGCTGATTTCCAGCCAGGCCTGAAATACAGGCTGTCCCACTGGTAGGGACTTCCCAGAAAACCACCTGCTCTAAGCTGGTCTCTTACCCTTCTGCCCTGTGGCATGGAGGTGCACAGCCACCCAAGAGCCTGAAGGGAATGGGGGAGGGATCCTGGGTTATGAACCTTGCCAGGACCAAAGGGAATGGGGCAACGAGGTGGAGGAGAAAGGTTTGAGTGCAGTGGGCCCTCCTCAGGGTTTGAGGGGAAGGGATCAAGTAGGTGGCCCTGGGACCTCACTGGGCCTGAGGGAAAGGAGTCTATACCAGGGCCTGAGAGGAATAGGACAGGGTCTTTTCCCCTGATCTTGAAAGGAAGGGAAAGCACACAATGGGGGCAGGATAGAGATCTTTCCAGAGCCTGAGGACTCACAGCCATTACCGGGCTTGATGGAACCAGGGGAATCACAGGGAGGCACTGCCAGGTCAGAGGGGAAGCGGGGCGGGGAGGACCACAGGCCTTTCTAGGCCTGAGAGGAAGGGTCCCCCTGAGACCTCCGCCGCCCTGTTCCCACCTCACCAGGACGAAGGGGAATGGGGACCCTGGGACTAAAGGAAAGGGGTCTCCCCCGCCTCAGCCACAGGCCTCGCTGGGGCTCAGGGGATGGGACACACAACAAGGTCCGGGCTCTGAGGGAACTGGGGGAGGGCAGACACCGACCCCAGCCGGGGGGTGAAGAGAACGAGGGCGGGGAGGACGGCAGCGGCGACCGGAGCGTGAGAAATTCAAGCGACTGGGCCTGAGGGGACGGGAGACTGGACGACCGCGGCTTTAGAGTCCGAAAAGGAATAAAACGGGGCGACCGCGGCCTGAGGGGACCGGAGGGGCGGGAACGACGACCGCGGCCTGAGGAGAGCGGGGCCCCGCCGCGCCGGGCCCGGGGCTGAAGGACGGGGTGGGGGGGTGGGGAGGAAGGAGGCGGCCGGCGGGCCCCTCACCTGCATGACGACCTCCACCTCGTAGGCATTGCCCTTGCTGCGCTGCTGCCCGCGAAACTTGGCACCGCTATAAAGCAGCGAAGTGGCCACCCCGGGCTGCGCCGTGTTGATGGGAGGCGGCGGTACCAGACTACTAGCGGCCGCCCCCGAGGGAGGTGAGGAGGCCGAACCCGCCGCGCCGCCCGCACGGCACCGTTCGCTCCGCACCGGCATCTCGGGAGGGTCCCCGGGCGCCAGCGTGGCCGGGGCCGAGCCGCGGCCGAGCGGCAACGCCCGCTCCCGCTCCCGTTCCCGTTCCCCACACGCCGAGGCCGCCGCCGCCGCCGCCGCCAGGCTCAGGGCCTCCCGGCAGCGCCTCCGCGCCCTCCCATTGGCCCTCGCGGGTGTTGCGGGAAGGGCGGTACCGGGCGACGATTGGCCACCGCCGCCTGGGCACGCGCTTCCTCCCGGCAGGCGCGGCCGCGGGAGGTGATGGGAAATGTAGTCCTTGAACGGGACGGGGAGACCGAAGGGACAAAACGCGTTCGGCGGAGCGGATTGGTTGTCGTTACGGTAACATGGCGGCGCCCGCTGTGCCGCGCTGAGCCCGGCAGGACGGTGGCGGTCGCTTCTTCTCTCGCCGCGATGTTGAGCGGTTGCCGCCGGTTGCTGTGGGGCCGCTTCTCGACCGCCCGGTTCCCCCGACCGCCTCCTGCCGCTGCCGGGAGCGGTCCGGTGGGGCCGGGCGGGGGTCGGGCTTACGCCCCACCGGCAGGTGAGGGGGGCGCCGGGCCCACCGGGGCCTCCCCAGCTCCCTTCAGGGAGGAGGAGGAGGAGGAGGGGGCGGCTTCCCTGGCTCGGCGGGGCTGGTCCTGCTGGGGGGGGACATTCCCCCGGTAGGACTCCCTCAAGGTCACCCCGGGCCAGGGGAAGGCTGGGCTCGGGGCGAGTGGACAAATGGGTGTTTGGGGCGGGGGAGGGAGGTCCAAGTCCTCCGTGTATCAGTTTGCGTTTGTGTTTTGGTGGGTTTTAGGGATTTTGAGGGGGTGGGACCCACCCGAGGTGGTTCAGGCACGTTTTGGGCCATGTATCACCTTCTCAGATTTTGCTGGAAATGTGTAGGTTTGAGGACAGTAAAACTAGTCTCATTCTGTCTGAGGTGAGGCTGCAGAGTTGCAGTGACTCATCGCGGGGTGTCGGGAACCTACTGACGTGACTCAGGACCCCTCTGGGGTACAAGCACATTAATCTTTTCAGAGCTGTGCCTTAATAGCGTGGCGTTTTCTGAGGCCCCGAAGCTTGCAGGTCACTAAGCCTGAGCAAATCCTCTTCCATTTCCCCAGCGGGAATGTACTTTTTATAGCCTAGAATAACAGACCTGCAGCCTGGCCTGCTCTCTTCACCCTTCAGGAGGTAGATTTTTGAGTTCGGGATTTACTATCTGGTTGCTTTCATCAGGGGAAAGGCTTGCAGATTCTTCCTGCCTTGTGTGAGAGATACAAACTTTGGCAACACGTGTAATCCAGCTCTCGGGTGTTGGGAGTGCGTGAAACAGTGCTGGTAGGAAAGGAGGCTGCTCTCAAAACAGAGACCTGCAGTTCCCTCAGGCTCACCTTGCCGGTGGAGCAGGCATCCTCCCAAGCTGGAGCTGGGTGTGTGGGCTGGAGGCGGCTGCGGGAGGTGGTTCCTCCCCTGGTGACTCAGTGGCATGCTGCAGTGTGTGCAACGAGTCCCTAGTACCATCCAGCTGTTACCGCATGTGCCTGCAATAAACCTGCTCCCGTGGGCGGTTGTGGTGGAGGGAACAGCATCCTGCCGCTGCACGCTCTGAGCCTGCCGGCAGCTGTGGTTCTTCCAGAGGGTGCGTCAGCTGCAGGTCAAAGCAGAGAATGAGCTAGAGGCACAGAGGGAGATCGCGTGGGTTGGCACTGGGTGGGTTTGTTGTCATCGGGGATGGAAAGAGAGGTTGCCGTGCCCTGCCCTGCCTCTAACCCAGCTCTGCTGGGTTTCTTGTCACTCTGAGACAGAACAAGCAGGGAGAGAGGGTTAGCCAGAGCAGTTCAGGGATTAATTTGTCAAACGTGATTGCGAGTGGGAGAATCTTGAAAGACAGGTCTGCTTTGGAAACCACCCCTGCCAGACTCTGCAGAAATTCGGTGCAGGCCAGTTCGAAGGGAGCTGAGACCACAGCCTGGCAGAAGCAAAGCTGGTCCCGTTCGCTTGCCAGTTGTGCACAGCAACCCTGGGGTTTTCACCAGCTTCATGGTGCTTCCCCATTTGAGTGGAGCTCACTGAAATGGTGTAGTGCTTGGAAACTGTGGATGAATGGGCTGGATTTTTGTGGCTAGGCCACCTCAGCAGCACTGAGGGCTGTGATAGGGAGCAGGGGAAGGGATCAAACCTCCTCTAACTGCCCTCTGAATGGCTCTGTTTTTGTCCCCAGAGAGGAAGCGGTTTTACCAGAACGTGAGCATCTCACAAGGAGAAGGTGAGTATGGCCACTGGGACAGGACAGAGGAGCTCGTTCCCGGGAAGGGTGTTATCAGCCCACACTTATTCAGCAGGAGCGTGGCACACCTGCAACCCAGGCTGTGCCCTTTCCTCATCTATAGCGAAGCTATGTGGTGGGAAATGGCTTCCAAGACTGGGGGAAAAGTATGTCAAAATGATGGTGATGGTGGGGAAACTTGAGTATCCCTGGTCCCGTGCTCCTGTCAGCTCCGGCTCTGAACTGCTCCTACTGTAGGGTTGTCTGTTGTTCCTTAGTGCCTGCTCCTCTTTGATTCCCCAGGATTTCTACTCTGATTCCCCAGGAGGCTTTGAAATAAACCTGGACCACCGAAAGCTGAAAACGCCCCAGGGCAAGCTCTTCACTGTCCCCAGTGAAGTCTTGGCCATTGCAGTGGCAACAGAATGGGACTCCCAGAAAGACACCATCAAGTTCTACACTATGCATCTGGTAAGCATGGCAGGTTGGGACGCTGAGACCTCGGCACGGCAGAACGCAGCATGCTGGGAGAAGTCAGGTCAAGGAAGTCAGGATTAAAGACAGGGAATCAAAATGCCAGGGGCTAAAGGTGGGTTTGCCAGGCCACTGCCACATGGTGAGGGCTGTGCCAGCTGGCAGAATGGATTCCAGAGCAAGGGTTGAGAACCGCTTTGGGATGTAAGCCTTGCGCTGGCTGCACAAGATGGGGGCGTCTTCTGAGAATGCTTCCTTCTGCATCCTGCTTCCTGCAGCTCTCCTGAGTACCTGCAGTAGAATTGGCATGGCTTGGTCTAAAATGGGGGTGACTGTGTAGACATGAGAATGGTCTCCAAACACAGAACATGGAGAGAGCAGGTTGTCCTAACACCGATGGAAACAGGGACAAGAGGTTGGGACTTCTGCTGACCACTGGGGAGAACCTTGCAGTCGTGAGGGTGGTTAGATACTGGCTGGGTGACTGTCTAGGGGGAATCTATGTCACTGTGGGCCTGGACAGTGTTATTTGGGATAGCAAGGGGCAGGAGGAAACGATGAGCTCTGGAACAGTCTGTGAGCTTTCTTCCCTGGTGCTTAATGGGCCTGCTCCCGAGGCTTCTGAAACCAGTGAGAAGATTCCTACTACACGAGCCATGTTCTGGCCCTGCACCCCCCTTTAGCTGCGTCCCTCGGTTCTCTGTCTGCCACAAATTCCTCTGCTGCTTCCCCAAGCCTTCAATAACAGTGGTTTAAACTGCCTTTATCCCCCAGACCACACTGTGCAACACAGCGCTGGACAATCCCACGCAGCGAAACAAAATGCAGCTGATCCGTGCGGCTGTGAAGTTCCTGGAGACTGACACTGTCTGGTATGAGATGGGGGCCTGGCTGGCACAGAAGCAAGATTGTCTTGTCGCAGTGTGCTTTTTGGAAAGGTGGTTGGGGCAAGTGAGAGAAAATGTCTACTGTAACCCAGTCATGGCAGGGCTATGATCTGTCCTGGTTTTGGCCTGAGGGTTTGAATTAGTTTAGGCCAGTCCTACGTCTGCAAACCTAGTGGAAGTCCATGTACCTGAACAGTATAGGTATGAGGGAGAATGAGAATCTGGTTCTCTGTTGAACTCTGTTTTGGACACCTCCATGCTGAGCAAGGGCGGGAGCAGCAGGAAATGAAGATCTCTGGGGGAAAGCAACTATCTTTGAAAAGCCTGGGGGAATCTGTCAGCCCAGTCCCTGGTACTCCTGTGCCAGTACAGGCAGCTCAGACTACTCTTACCAGTAGCAAAATGCCCTTCGTTCCTTAAAGTCCCTGTGGGCTGCAGGCTCAAGCCTGTTCATGCCCAAGCTCCTGGTTCACAGTCCCAGCCTCTGAGGTGTCCACTGGCAGCTGCTCAGCTCCTGTGGGAGAGGGGAACAGGACTTCCCCCATCTGCCTCTGTGGCTTTGCTCAGGCTGGCAGTGGGGAGTGCCAAGCTGAGCCGCTGGGCAAGGTGGGGCAGGAGGAGTGGCCCCATATAAAGAATTCCAGTGGGATATGTCCCACTGGACATATGCTCTAACCGCTAAACCTTGCAGCATCCCATGGCTGGTGTGGGGCTACCTGCAGTTTTCTGTCGTGGTTTGCTGCTCTGATTTGCAGTGAGATAGCATTGTCCTTCCTAGAAAAACAAAAAGCTCTGAATTCAGGGGAGAGTGGGGGATTGTTCCCAGTCACTACTGCCGCTGGGTGGACAGTAGACCCTTGCTCCCCTTGCTGTGGTCTGGGGAGGGGGTAGCTTCCTTCCCAGAGGTGTGTCCTAGTCTGGCAGGGAGCAGCCTGGCAGCCTGGGAGTGAACATCCAGTGCGGTTTTGTTCTGCAATGTCCCAGCTACCGTGTGGAGGAGCCAGCCGCCTTGGCAGAGCTGCAGAGGGATGAATGGGATCCTGTTGTTGCCTGGGCTGAGAAAAGGTAAGAGGTCAAAGATGTTTCTGTCTGCTTATGCCTTGCCCTGCTGAGGCCAGGAGCTCTAGTGCTTGTGACTGTCAGAGCTGCAAGGTCCATGAGCCCTGTGTCTTTCTAAGGGGCTGGGCGATCGTTCCAGGTACAACGTGGCAATTGGCTCCTCGACCAGCATCCTGGGGCCAAACATTCCAGCCAGCACCAAGGAGACCTTCGTCAGCCATCTGGCGTCCTACAACGTGTGGGCCCTGCAAGGTGAGAGGGGCTGGGCTCTGGAGCCCTCTGCTCAGGCTGTGCCAGTGGAGGAGGCGGTTCCTCTCCACGGGGGAGAAGAGCGACTGTAACATTTTTCTTCTACAGCTGAGATAATCAAGAGTGTTGAGGTTTATGTTTTAAAACTGCAGGCCAATCCCTTAGCTGTATTTTTTAAGGGTAGGGACTCTCCCCTTAGTGCCACTAGTGTCCAGGGTCTGACTGTGCTGGCCTGCGAGCTGTTTGGTCTCTACCCTAGCAAAAATAACTTCTTTAATGCTAGACCTTCTAGTGACTTAGTCCCCAGCTTTGTTACCAGGAAAAGAAATAGGGTTTAGTACTCCAAGTGCCCATGGTTCTGTGTACTGTCCTCACTCTTTCACCCTTACAGCCCACTTGATCCTACCTGATACTGCTGAATGACACCTAAAGATAGAAAAGAAGTAATGTTTGCTTTGCTCAAGTCCTCAAATGCAAGACTTGAATGAGCAGCAGACAGTGAAACCCACAAAAGACACTAGTTTTGCAGCTAAGGGAAGTTAACAGTGTTGATTCCTGGGACAGGGCTTGCAAAGCTTTTCCATTACCCCTGTAAAGATACTTTTTGATGGATCTTTTCCTTTCCTCACAGTTTGTAATATGGGTAGACAGGGTGGAACGGAAAGGCACATGCCTCCCCTGGGGAAGGGGAGCCTCTGGGCAGCTAGTCGACTTTAGACCTGAAATTCAAGGTCTGGCCTAGACTGGTAGCGCAGGACGAGTCTCACTTCAGTTCCTTCCTTAGACCCTGTCCATGTGCAGGCACCTCCATTTCCTATCAGGTTGAGCTGAACCGTGAGTGCTCAGAAGTTTGAGCCCTTCTTTCCTCCTCCTCCTGGCTCAGGGATTTGCTCAGGTCCCTCAGCCATCAGGCACGCTCTCTCCTCCCCTGAAGAGGGGTGTCTTGCAAGCCAGTAGCTGGTGGTGTGGCAGGAAAGAACTCTGCTGTTTTATCAGCTGAGCCCAGCAGCTGTGTCCTTTGCCGACACAGTTCTCCCAGGGCACGGCACACCACACACATTTGCACACTGTTTTTCTAGGAGTGGTTATAGATGCAGACAGCTCTTTTATCACCAAACAGTATACGAGGCCCTCTCACCCTAGACTTTCAGCTGAGCTCCAGAATACTCAGGCCTGGATGGGTGCCTCTTCCCTTTGCACAGGGAAGGTTTGTGGCGGAATAAAAGGAGGCAGTTTCCAAGGCATAGCCTTTGTCACTGCAGTGACAGTGGCCAGAACAGCGCTTTGTGTCTGCTGTTAACGGCAGATCTGATGCTTAAGTGCCCAGATGCAAGTGGGAGGATCACTGGCCCTGTGATCCCCCTGAGGAGGCACCACACCCTGACTGTCTGTTCAGAGCATGTGAAGATGCTGCTGTAATGCTGCAGAAAACAACCATGAATCTTGTTCATTTTGGGTTATTCCCTTCCAGGTATAGAATATGTAATCACCCAGCTGAAATCTCTGATTCTGTCCATGGGTCTGATTGACAGGCACATTACAGTAGAGAAAGCCGTGCTTCTGTCTCGCCTGGAGGAAGAATACCAGGTAAATTATGTTACAAAACAGCCCTCTAATTCAAATAGCAATAATCTCAGCATGACAAATGCACCTCCCACCACAAATAACTGGCAAGGGAAGTGCCTGCTATTGCAGGAGAGGTTCCACTCTGCCAGTCTCCCCATTTGAGAGAGTTTGGAGTGTGCTGCTGTAGAGCAACACCATGGGGGCAACAGCCCAGAGTGCTCCTGGGACTGCCAGTTTCTTTCTGCAGAACCCAGGTGGCTGCTTTTCTCCCTCTCTAATTTGAAGTGCAAAGTCGTGGCTGGCTTCTCTTGCTGTGGGTTATCCAGCCTGGAGGCCTTGGTAGACACCAAGCTAATAACTTGCTTGCTGGAAACTGGCCTGGCGTGAAGCTCTCCCTGACCCAAAAGTGGCTGAAGTTGATGGGAATCTTTTCATCCTCCCTTTAAGGGCCTTGCCTCAGACCCCAGTATAAATGAAGCATGTCCTTCCACTGAACTCATCTGGAGATCTGTCTGCCCCAGTAGGCAGTGATCAGCACAGCTCCTGGGGGGTTACCCGTGTTTCACAAACATGAAAAGGGAGGCTGGGAGTTGCTGAGCAGCTCTACATATAATCCAGTTCTGAACTGACTTGCATTCCTCCTCTCCTTCAGATTCAGCGGTGGGGCAGTGTGGAGTGGGCCCATGACTATGATCTGTGCGAGCTGCGTGCTCGCACGGCCGCTGGGACTCTCTTTGTTCACCTCTGTTCAGAGAGCTCAACTGTAAAACACAAGCTGTTGCAGGACTGAGGCTGCTGGGCTGGGCACAGGAGGAGAATGCCCAGCTGTGAATTGCTGGCATGACCCAGTGAGGGCAACCACCCTCCTGCCACCACGTCTTTCCTGGGATCAGCCTCGTGCTGAGGAGCTGCGACTTTGTGGGCAACTCCTTGCTTGGACTGCCTGCCGCAGTGCAGCGCCAGCAGTTTTGAGCCCACAAGGAGGAAAGGTCAAGGTGAGCTTCCTCTGCATCCCCCAGACAGCAGCTCTGTCCATTACCGGTGTCTGTAACTCATCAGAGGAGCTCTCACGAAAGAAACAGCTTCCTGGGCAGGGTGCGGTACAGACATACCCAGCATATGCCACATGTCTTCATAGCTGCCAGCTCCTGACACACACTTGTTATGGAAATCTGAAAACAGACTCCATTGCATCTGTTCTTCATCCCTCAGTGTGCCTGTATGTAACACCAGGGTCTCTCTGTTTGATTAAAGGCACGCCCCTGCTAGATACTGAAAGCCAATGCTGCTGAGTATTTCTTTGTTTTAATCACCAAACCGTGGTGTAGGTCCTGAGCTGCCAGGCTCCAGGCAGGTGCTGGGATGGCTGCAGGCAGAAAAAAACATGGAGCAGAGCTGAGCAGACACTAACTACCAAACAGATCTGCTTCCTTCACATCTCTGTGTGAGCCTTTCCGTGCTAGGTGCCCTGTCCTTGCAGCCAAGGAGTAGCAGGGAGCCGACTGTGCAGTCCTGGAGCGAGGGGGGGGGGAACCTGGGCTCCTGCCATCTTCAAAAGCACAGGGTACTACAAGGTAAATCTGCGTACAACAGGCAGCACCAGCCACGGGGCTTTCAGAGAGACCTGGTCTCCCCCCGGAGTGCGTATGCAGCCACCCTCTCGTTTAACCTTCCCACCTTTCTCCTTGCTGTTTGCCTCGAGCAGTACCACGCCAGCCAGCATCATTCCTCAGAAGCTGCCCACAAGTGAGCGTAGCAGCTGCTGTCACTGAGAAAGGAGGGGAATTAATGACTCCTCGCTTGGCTGTTGCGAGCAGCGGTGTGTGAGCTCCTGTGGAACCATTGATTTCCCTTCCTGCTAGCTGGGGGCTGCTCTGTTCACGCTGCAGAAAGCTGCTTTTGTGAGAGGTGGTGAGAAGACGAGGCTCCCAGGCACACAGAGCCCCCGCCAGCCTTGTGCTTGCTGAGCTGGAAACCTGCTGTTATCTTGGGGGTGGTTTGATGGAGAGCACTCATCTCCCAGGCTGCTGCCATGTGCCTGTGGCTCGCAGGTTCCTGCCACTGTGCTTGCAGGTACCAAAGCTTTCGGGCATGATGTGCTACGATGATTTGGTTCAATCAGCTCACAGCTGATCCGTAACCCCTCATGACCAGGTCTGAGCTCTCGGGCTTCATGCCAACATGATGGAAGAGGCAGAGCTTCATATGCTTTTCCAGACTCAAGAAGTATCTTTTATTTGCAGTTTGTGGTGGGATGGAAGAAGCATGCCTTTGGCCTGAAATGTCCCAGGCAGCTCAGGCATAGAGAGGCAGCCGTCCCTGCCGGGTGTGCTGCTGCTGGGGGCTGTCCTGTGTGCCCCCAGCTAAGGCAGCTGCCCAGCCTGTGGCAGACCTACTCCGTTGGCTCCAGGATTTCTATGTTATCCAGCTCCTCCTGGAGATTGTCGATGTACTGAACGATCTCTCTGACACGGTCGCGGTTTCTGTCAATCTCGTTTTGGAAAGCCTGAACAGATTGAAACCAAGCAGTGAATCTGCAGGCTTGTCAGGGTCCCTTGCTGTAGCACAGAGGGCTCCAGCAAAGGTTAGGGAGCATCTTTCCTAGCAATGTCCCCACCGCTTGGGCCAGACCTGTCTGTGCCCCATCCCCCTGAGCATGAGGGTCTCTTACCTTCTCTGTCACAGAGGCCTGCCAGCGGTAAGTGTTGCTGAGGATGTCGCTCTCTCGCTTAGCAATCTTCAGCAGACGGATGCCATGGGATGTGTTGACTGCGTTGACAATGGTGTTTTTGTCCACAAGAAGCTAGGAGGTAACGTGACCGGATGAGGGGAGGGGAGTGGGCTTGCAGCAAAAGCAGCAGAGCTCGGAACTAGGAGCACAGTAACTGCAGTGCTCGGGGGGAAGAAAATTGGCCCTCTGTTTCAGACAGACAAAGCCCTAGTCAACAGGAGGAATCCAGCGCTTTACCCCTTCGCGAGGATGCGCCTGGACCTCGCTACAGCGTAATGGAGTATTATCCCTAGTACAGGTGGGGAAACTGAGGCAGCACTCTCAGGCTCACCTGCTGGAGCAGGGAGCAAATGCCTGCTGCTGAGTGCTCTGTTGCAGGCAGGGCTGCCTCGCAGCACATGGCAGGCCCCTGCGGGCAGCTGGTGTTGAAGCAAGGCTGCATATGCTCCAGCACGCCTGGCCCAGCAGGTGCGGGAAGTGGAAAATCGCACTTGGAAGGGTCTCTTGCACTGGTGGCACTGGCTGTAAATCTTCATTTTTGAAGAGTCCCAGATTCTAATCGAAGCAGTGACTTCCCCCGTGGCTCTAAATAGAGGGTGGCTTCACTAAACCATAATGACTCTCCTCCTGCAGCCAAGTGCAGCTGTTGAACAAATGAAGATTGCTTCTCCGTGGAAATGGATGGCAGCGAGGCAAAATGGGTGCACAGCAACGGTGCGTAACTGCAGCCATCTGCACAGGCCATAAAGCAGGGAGCTCCCCCGGGGGGGCTGAGGGGTCTGTTTTGTGTCTATCAACTCTCGATTACCTGGAGTAATGGGGGGGGGGGGCTGGGATAATCTGGACAGAGCAAAACCACAGCAAATGCAAAACTCCAGTCATTTAGCCACTGAATGAAGGAATAACGGAGGCAAAAAGGTCAGCAGCATTGCTGACTGGAGCACTGCAATGATCTTTGTGCTTTCTGAAGGCTCCTGGGATCTTTGCTATCACAGCAAGACTGAGGGCTCAGTGGAAGGCTCCATTTGAAATGTCATGTCCTGCCTCCAGATCAGCTCGTGGGCTGGGGAGCTCTAGGAAGGGCTTTTGAAATCACTGAGGCAAACAGAGCCCCGGTGCAAGAAAGTCAGAGCAGTGTTCAGATTCTCCTGGGGGAGCAGGGAGAATCTGAACAAAACCAGCTGTGAGTGCAGCAAAGATGCTGCCTAAGTGCCTGCTAGGTTGGGGCTGTCTGGAAATCACCCAGAGAAGTGAGTTGTGCTGGAGGCAGGAGAGAGACTTGCTCAGCACCTCTCCTGGGCTGCTGCCACCAGCTCTGGCAGCGCCCAGGGAAACCTGCAGTGCAGTTATCCTCTGTCCTAGTCAGTGGAGATGTCTGGTGGCACTGCAGTTCAGCCAAGTGGCTGGGGCCTCTTGGGAGGAGGTTATGCTCTGGTTTAGACATGGCTTTAGCTGTATTGAGCCTCCTGGAAACCCTGTCCCTTCTGAGAAGAGGCTGTGGCCTCCTCTTCTTGCCAACTCCTTAGCAGAGATGAATTTTTTTGATGCCCTCACCATTCGAACATCAGCTGGCAAATCCTCGTCAAGCTGATTCTTGACTGATTTCTCCAGTGTGGTGATGGAGATTTCTAGCAGCTTTTCGTGGTAACGGTTTTCCAGGTCCCGGCACTGGGTCATCGTACAGAAGATCGTTAAGGAAAAAGCTGACCACACCATTCACTTGTAGAGATTAAATGACCTCCTGTAACTAGAGACTGAGTGTCTGCACAGCGGGCCTCCATAGGAAAGAGCCTGGCTGCTGCCAGAACCTGGTGTAGTGTCAGGATATACGCTTTCTGTTCTTAATCACACATTTGGTCTCATCCTCACTGCCATATATTACGCAGAACTGAGAGTGGGCCTAGGCTTGCAAGGGAAGTTGGAGGAGGCCTCCCAGGATATAAGCTAAGCTCTGAACATGGTGCAATTATTTGCACGAGGCCAACAGATTTCTATATTTAAAGTAGTGTAACCTGTCACTGAAGCACTTTGGTATTGTCATCTCACTTTGTTCCAGAAGACATCAACAACACAAAAATGAAGGCCATTAAAAGAAATTTCAAAGAGAATTGTAGGTATTTCATTGGCTGTTATGGCAAGAATGTACATAAAAAAAGGTCTAACCAGATCTTCCCAGGGTTTTGTCATGGCTGTGTGGAGAAGGAAGGAAGATTCCCAAGGGGGAGAAAGCTACATAAGTCTTACAGACTTTCAGCACAGGAGAACTTAGATCCTTTTGTGCCCTCCTGAGTCTCCACAGAAAGGAGCTGGGCACCTTAAATGACCATTCCTGCAAAGCTGGGAAAAGACCTTTTCTGTTGATTTAAAAATAAATAAATAAATAAAAATTCTATACTGATGGCTCATTTCTGGATTTAGAGGTGAGATACATGTATATCACTGGAAGGTCCAGGCCAACAGACTGTCAAAAGGATATATCCCTTTAACGTTTTCAATGAATGTTGATGCTATGACAGCAATGTTTCCTTTAAAATCCTTTATTAGTTCCTTAACAGAGGGAAAAAGAGGACATATTACAATGAAAACTTGCATAAACATAAAAGGGAGTCAGGGACTCTAGGAAGAATCTACAATTTATTATAATTTGGACTCACTGCTGTTATTAGCACAGTCAGAAACTGAACTGCCTCAAGCATTTAATGTGTTTTGAAAGTGCTGCAAGATTTTCTTTCCTCCTTCAGGGATAGAAAATCAGTTTATTGGAGGGAAGTTGACTGAATGATACCTTTACCCACTGTCTGGAGCGAGCCAGCTGATCCTTTTTTACCCTCACCTAAGTAATGCCTGGAGAGTGCTGTATTCCCGTATACTGACATGCTACAGTCTCCTTGTATGCATGAAGAGCCTCTTGTCAGAAGCACAACCAATGACTGGGCTTACTGCAGCTTTTGTTTTAGTCCTCAGAAATTAAAATTGCTGCTGCCTATTACCTCTGTCAGAAATGGCTGATGGAGAATCTGTGAAGTGTTGCACTTAAATGTCTTGATACAACAGTTCAAAGACAGCCACCCGAATCCTGCAAATCCAGAAAGGCATGCAGGGAGAAATGCTTTGGCTCATTCCATCAGTGACTGCAGATATGTGAGGACCAATTCAGAAAACACTAAAAGGCACAATCCTGATGCAGTGAGGAATCCATTTTGAGCTGCTGCTTTCTGTCATGCACATTCACAAAAGTAAACAGCTGCGTCTGCTTGCACACAGGCCACAGCTCCTGCCTGCTAATTTTTAAACAGATTACTTTTTTTTTTTTTTTTAAATGAGGATGCACATTAGCAGCCCTGCCCTAGTTTTTGAGGAAAAGTCTGTGAAGAAAAAAGGCAGCTATTATGCAAGCAAATGCAGTAAGCTGAGCAGGAATGTATGTAATCTTATTCATAGCAAAGATCAGCTTCAAAGAATTACACATCTAGAATCCCAAAGGCATACCCCATGCTATGCAACGACTTCTGTACGCAGACCTATAAAATGACTGAATGACCTCA